ACGTATTTCAAAATAGTTACAACTGGAAAAAAAAAGAAAAATTTCCAATCATCTGGATAATACTAACGCAAATAGATAAGAGTTCCCTGGTCTAACTTTTTCTGTCGACCAACAGATTCTTGTTTTTTTTTAATAACTGAATTAAGCTACCATTTGTTTGTGATTAAGTTTAACAAATTGTTGACTGGCCAATAACAACCTGCACTTTACTTTTAAGTGATACATGCTTTATTGCTTTTTGGGTACTTTTAGTTCCTATTCTAATTGTTGAAAATAGAAGCAAATGCATGCAAATTTCCGAAGTAAAAAATGAAATATTGAGTAAAATTTTGATACGCAATCGTTTTGTGGCTGATCCACTTTGAAACTCTTTATGGTGGCCAATTTACGTTATCAACTCCGTTGATCATACCAAGTTACCATGTTATACTTTCCTATCGAAGTGGAGTAAGGATTTATGAGTGAGTTGCTAGTAATCGGATTCTCGTGTTTGCTCAAAGGTTTCTGGGATTTTCAAGGGGCAAACCCTGCTTGCTTTTTCGGTGCAACCAAAGCTAGTTGTTGTGCTAAAAACGGTCAGGGATCTGACCCATTCTAGGTGGATGAAGACTACTGCCAAGTGGAAGAGGCATTGTTACTTCTCTGTACGTTCTTTGGGCGGGAAATCGAAAACTGTCAACATACTGAGAACGCTGGCGTGGTTTGTCACAATTAGATTGGTCGCAAACAAAAACCTGATATGCACGAAACAAAGAGTTTTATGCCACAAGTCATTTTGTGGTATTGTAATGCACGACCCTTTTTTCAGCTTGCTCATATTGACATAGAAGCGGCCATTTGTTTCTGGGGGAAGGTTGTTAGTGGCTGTGATCACACTTCAGTGGGCTATAGTCAGGAAACGAAAATAATAGTTAAAAAGTCGAATTACTTAAGTACCTGTAAATATAGTCTTCAAGATTTCTGTATACAAGTATTGTTTCTATAGATGTCTCAGCTGCCCCTGAACGACGCGGCCTGGATAGTCTTAAAATAATGTAAACTGGTATGATCTGATCTGATCATCTGATGAGTAGTAACTGATTATTTAGCGGCGAAAACAAAAATATTGCATTCACCTCAAAAGGAGAATGAAAGAATCCACTCTTTTAAAATCAGACTTATGGACGAGGAAGTTATGTATTTTTATTTTCTCTTCATTACTTCATTACTTTCTCCTTAAGGGTTGTGTTATACGGTTCAAGTTGCGAAATTGATTTCTCGCGCAACACCGTTGTACCTAAAATCAAACCACACGTAAAATTATACCGGTGGCAAGCTAACTTTTGATTCTGTAACACATTGCTAAGTCTTATAGCGTTTCAAATACACGTTACAAACGAGCCAAATTGACAAATATTTGCAAGACCAACTATTACGAAATGTCTGCCAAGAATTCCATCTGACATTTCAGTCTGCTTATCAATAATACCAGTTTTTATTCTAATCACACTCATTTAATGTATATATATATATATAATTTCTCGTAAATAATCACTCATAATAAAAGTCCTCGTCTTACTCAAACATGATCAAAGACCCTAAAGTCAGCATTAGACCGGCGGGTGTCGTGGAAGTATCATTAAAACCTTGTTAGTTGACATAATCGCACATATTATTTTAATCAAATATTAATCAACACAAATGGGTAAATATACCTGTAACCATACCTTCAAAAATTTATTATTCTAGAATGTGTCCTCTATGGCTGGTATCGATTCAAGGATACCGCAGGTACGTGTATGCGTACCGCTTGCACGCCTATTTACAGGTGTGGTGCACACTCAACTGGTTGGCTAAACGAAGTCCATCCTACTACAGCTGACCGATAGGTTACAAGACAGGTCTGCTTTTACAGGAATTCAATTTGTTGTCTCTGGAGCATCAACATTAAAGTAAGGAATTGTGGCTCGTATTTTCTTTATAATCTTCACTTAACACCAGATTGTTATCTAAGGTATTGCGGCACTAACTAGGTAACGGCACAAGGTTGATGGTACTACCTTCTACTTGTAGCTGGCAAAAAACAAAAGTAACAATATCACACTCTAAACAAAGAACATTCGAAAACTGAAGTGACAAGTACAACCCCAACACTGTTGTGTATGAGAGTGTAGATCATAAACGGCTGTAAGTAGTAGGAAATGCATTGATAATGGCTGTGTTGTTCGTAGTAGTAGTAAAAGTAGACGTTTTGCAAGTGTTAGTAGTAGTAATAATGGAGATAATGGTATTATTAAAAACGGAAGTTGTATTTGCGCAGTAGTGGTAATAGTTGCTGCAGCAGCAGTTTTGTGGTAAACTGAACTTCTGAACTCTGTCGAGGTGATATGACAACTTGAGATAAGGAACATTAGTACTTAGTTCTTATTTCCGAGAAGTACTTTTATTTCAAAATTAGACTCACACTCATCAGACCACAATACATTTGCTCGGATTTGTCAAACATACGTACTGTCTCGTAAGATTGACGGCCAGCTTTATGCCCAGCCACAACTCGGTTAGCGGGTGACATCCGGTGATAGGAGAGTGGTCGAGAATCCAAAGCAAGAGACTTGGGAGGGGTTACCTGCCAGGTTTTTATTATGGTGATTGTGGCTGGCCTTCAAGCCAGCCTGGCCGATGAAGATGAAAGAGGTTTAAAAACATTAAGGCGAGCAATGCGATGCAGCCCAGGGATCGGTCCATTTAAGGGTGAGTCACTGGAAACTGTTTGTGCAAGCCCAAGGATGGGAACTCTTGGTTTTGGACTGTTCAGCCTACTTTTGTTTTCCCTCTATACGTCTGCTGAGTTCGGTAGAGTTTCTGTGTTTTGCCTATAACAGTGATGTTGTTTGTTTTCTAGATCTTGTCTTATAGTCGTTTTCTGTAAGTCCTGTGTACCTGCTATTGTCCTTACGTGTGACGGTGGCTTGATAGGTAACTGATGATTGAAGGCAGTTTCCGTCGAATTGGGAATGTGTTCTTTTGTCGGCAGTTGCAGTTGTTTTGCCATCATAGCGTATCCTTTTATTAAGCTCACCCTACAATAGCGCAAATAAAAGATGCAACCTCTGCCTTAAAGAAAAATTCCTAATCATCTGCCGACCTGATTTGTCATCACTTGACAAACGTAATGAACTCGTGTCTTCATGATGTCACAGAGACAAAGCGTTGCCGCGTAACAGCTGAACAAAGCATCTAAATTTACCGCCACATTTATTATGCAAATTTTATTGTCTTTAAACGATGGTTACAAACATTCTTGCCATTAAAATCCCCTGAAGAGTGATTCTATCACGAAACAGGCTTTTCGGGATAAAGCGTAATCTCTTTGTTTTTTCCTTAACCAGTTCATACGCTCTACTTCTATGTCTCCAGCACTGTGATACGGGGAAACCGAAACATAAACTTCCTATATATGTATATATCATACCATATCATACGCCACAGTAGATCTATGATTCTCTCTTTAAAAATGCCGAGTATGCGAATTCAGTAAGGAAGAGGCAAAACCGAAAGTGCTTATTTCTCTTGGTTAAACTTTTCTTTTGACGTCAATAACTCTTGTAAACAAATTCACGATGGAAAGCTTCAATTAAATTTTGTTTTGGATTAACTATGGGAATGCAAAAATTCGAAGTGATTGAGAAACTTGCAAAAGCTTTGGTTCCTTTGAAATTTATTGTAAAAAAAATATGCTTTCCCAAAAATTTCTGGCATCTCTCTTCGAGGGCTCCGCAAACTGGCAAAGATACAATTAGTTAAACCTCACAAACAAGAGGTTCTATTCATTAACTAACAGTACAAAAGAAGCTTGTCCATTGGCGCCTGTCTCGTCGCTAATAAATATTTTATTTCTTTCATTTTTACAAAAGAGGCCAAATGTTCTGAGAGTTTCGTTGGCCTTGCTAAAGCTTGGATGCCAGTTACTCAATTTAACAAGTGGAATTAGTCGAAAGAATTATCCCGAATGTAATTTAAAATACCCTCATTTTGCGGTAAGTATTAATGAAGGTCAGGAAAACTACTATAAGGAAACATAATTCCCATTTTGGAAGTCCAATAGATTAAGATTGAGGTCTTGGCAAAGTAAATTGAGTGAGTGATATATACGTTTCAATGGAATATGAACTAAACTCGTTTGTTATTTTCTCGAGAATAGTAGAGAATGCGTAGCAGATATTTATGATATTTGAGTTATTTGTATCATATAAGATGTTTAGAGAATAATGCAGGAGCGCGCGTAGATTCGATGTCGATCGATGATGTTTTACGTCTGACCGAAAATCTTTCAAACAGGAAGCCTGAAAAGTTATTTCTTTGTGGTTCAAACTAAATTTTCACATGCAACACAGGTCTGCTAATTAAAATCAGAGCAGATTAAGTTTATAACTAACCGAAGAGTCACTTGCTGGATTTTTCCCTGCTTTTCCGAATTTCTGGGCTATGCATTGATGCATTTCTTACCTCGTATTTTTATATTGTCTCTCCTGAATTATCTCTAGATGTAAAGTTTGGGAAATTTTAGCGAACAAGGCCGCTTCTCGTTTTCTTTCTTGATCGAGTATGCAAAATTTTCAATTCTCGGGTTAATTTCAATATATATGCATAAGGGATTTTTCCCAGGCTAATACGCAAACTAAGCTGTAAGCAAAAACAAAACAAAGAAACACGAGTTTTGAGGGTTCTTACAACTTTACGTTCACATTGATAGCCTAGTTGCAATACAGGGGTTTTAGTTGTGCTGCATGATTAGATGCCTAGTTAATTAGAAGGCTAAGTCCGTGTAGTTTGGCAGAAGTGAATCAGAAACGCGCTGGACCAAAATATATAATTCAGCTGAAAATTTATCCTGGTATTGGCGTGGGAATGTTTTTTTTTATTATTTTTCATTTTACCATGGTGAGGTGTACGTTAGCTTGCATGTCTGAGGGTTTAATGTTGCCTTTCATTTACAGAAATCAAATCAAAGCTGCATCAAGATGAACAAGATAAAGAAAACGTTTGACTTACTCTCCCTGATATCGGTGTTATACTTATTAAATGTTTCAGTTGGCAAACAGTGCAAAACAGCAGAAGCATCTATTTCGGGGAAAGCTCTCATGGGTTACACGTTTAAATCTTTGGCTGTGCGGGCACCGTTTGAATGTCAAGTACTTTGTGAGAACACTTTTCATTGTCAGAGTTACAACTTTTTCTTACCGAGAAAAATTTGTGAATTAAACAACAGAACTAAGGAAGCAAGACCAAGAAACTTTGTCACGGATGAAGATCGATTTTACGTGAGGAGCTGGCCTAACAGAGGTAAAGTGTTGATAAAAGTGGAGTATAGCTTTGCTTCTGCAGGACGTTGTCCCAGGACTTATAGTAAACGAAATTAGGAAAATCATCTCGAAAATTTTGTTATTTCTTAGTATGCACATTTAGCTCAGAAAATTCGTCTCCTTAACTGAAAAAGAATAATTAATCGAACAGCTTGGCATTTCAAAACAAACATCAAATCTTGTAGCTGAATGTTCCATGGGATATTCTGTTGGAATCAAGTAAAACTTTTGTATTTTTAGAAAAGACAACGTAGCGGCTTTCTTGTCTGACCAAGTTCAGATACCTTTAGCGAGAACATAAGTATGGGTTTTGGAATCGCTTTCCATTGTTGCGTATACATCTGACACTCTCAAGAGGTACGAAAGCAGCTTTTAATCGAAATTCTGTGAAAATATTAAAAACTACCTCCATTAAGTTATCTCTTTCCTATCTCTTGGTCGCATTTGCCTTTCATTACGACTACGTTTTTGCAAATATGAGCATATCAGAAAAACATAAACAAAGATTTACATGACTGCAGCTGATTTAAAATATTTCTTTGACGCGTTTCCATTTCGCCATCATTTTTCAGTTTCCCTAGGCACCATTCCTGAGTTGTCAGCTGAGTCCTGTATGGAGATCGTCTCCAGCGAAGAAGAAAAGGTTGTCAGCGGTTTGTACTGGCTTAATTTCAGAGAGCTGGGAATAATAAAGGTAATTGCTCTCCCCGTCTGCAGAGAAATCGCAGTGATTGCTTAAATTGGTCGAGCTTTTTTTTTTCTGAGATCCTGTTCATCATGCATTTTCGTGGCACTTCGTAATTCAGAAAATATCATCAACTACTACGCCGAGACAATTTGATCTTGGCGTCTTGACATTACGCTCATCCATATCCATCCATTCGTAAGTTTATCCGTGTATGCGCATTTAACGCATGTCTACACGGGTGGGCAAACTGAAGAAACAGAATGATGGTCTTATTTGAAAATGCTATGTCGACTCCAAGTTTTATTTTCATTAAGTTTTCCCCGCTTTAGAGCGCGGAAGATTTTCTGTGAAGTATACACGTACTCGACTTCAACTTTTACGGCTGAGCTACTCGACATATTAAGATTTGCCCGTATATTCTGAGAAGTTTACAAATATTTAAGAGAGAACATTGATCATAAGAACTTGACTAAAACATTCGCTAAAACTAACGATATCTTTCTCACCATCATAAACGGTGTTACTTTCTCTCCCTAGACACTTTTTTGTCAGAGTTTTAAATACAGCCAATCCTCGTCAACTGTTGGTTTTAAAATTTAAGTTATCGTGCCAATATTTCGTATAATTTTGATTCTTCAGGTATATTGCGACTTTACACGTGCTAGACATGGGTGGAACCTCATAGCTCGATTCTCAAACACTGATACAAGGCACTGGATGCTTGATTCTGGTCATTGGTGGTATGATAGAAGGGAGGCTTTCGGAGAAACTACTGATCCATCTGGCAACACTGACATGATATCACCGTTATTTTGGCTGCTTAACGGAAGTGATTTCAAGATCACACGCAGCGATGACTCAGAGCATACTGCTCTACTGCAAACCACAGATAACTGTCTAGGAGGACACACATTCCGTTCTAAAGTCACAAACTACGGTGATTTCAGAAATGGCACAATTTGGCCCAATGCAAGGTGCTTAGGAACATGCAAAGTGCAATATGATGGACAGTACCAAATTACTGACGGCTTCGTGCGGGCTTCATGTAACGGCAGCCTGCAAGCTGCTGATAAGGTTGGCTTTTGGTGTGAGATTGGTTGGAGCGGCTCCGTGATTATGATTGGAGGAGCCGGAGGTGCATGTGGTACAACGTATCACGGGATAGGCATCACAACGGCAAAAGAGGCTTCATTCAGTGCAGAAAATGGACGGGCTGAAGATGATTTTGGAAATAGTCCGTGGGGCTCATCTGAACGGAGTTACTCATTAAACTTGTGGATAAGATGAAGAAAGGAAAAATGTATATAATTGTATTTTAGAAAGAGATTATTAATTCTTTATGATAATTAATGCTTCTGGAGCGGGGCTAAGAATGGCTCTATTCTATTTATTCTAGGCTTTACTCTATTCATAGTCCATTTTCGTTGATTATCGACAGGTTTCTAACTGAAAAATTGACTGTTGGCAAACATGGCAAACATGTATATTACCTTTTTTCTTAAAAGTTACTTTTTGCAAAAAAAACTACTTACTTTCCTTTTCTTGCTGCAATTGAAATACATTAAGAAAAAGATTCCTTCAGCAGCCGGGCTGGGCTTGCTCAGGAAGATGCAAAGTACTTGTAATGGGGCGGACGCTGACATAAATCAAATCAAACTTGAACAACGCTGTGTCGGGAAATGTCTTATATCAACGGAACTTTCAAGCGTCTATCAATCTCGACTGGTTTATTAATCACTGGAAAGCTCGTAAAAATTGAACACGGTAGGTTAAGGTTTTATTATGTTCTTCGAGTTGGACTCCGAGAGGAACTTCGAGGTGAACTTCGAGTTGAACTCCTGGTTATGTTTAGTGTTTTACCTAGGTAACTGATTCCATCTAAGTGCAAGTACTGAAGGATTGCCATCAGTAGAGAACAAATTGACATAAATCTAGTATCCCACGCCAAATAAGTAAATTCTGATTTAGGCGATGAAATAATAACCGTATACACCTTTGAAAAAGAGGAAAACTGTCCACAGAAAAGCAGACATATTAGTAGTGTGAATTTTACCGTGACGCGAAACAGGGAAAAGCTTGGATTATCTCATTTGCCATACATTTTTAACGCCACGTTATGAGTTCATATTTACAAATAGCCAGGTGAATTCGAGGTAACATCGGGAAAATTTTTTTTTCTTTCCTGGTTTAAGCCGTAAATTTTTAGAACAACGGTATTGGTTCTCTACAAAGTGTGTCGCAATTTTTCACTGCGAATGAATACTAAGAAACTGTCCATTTCTGCAGTTGTAGACCACATACAGACGAACAGACAAATTAGCGAATGTGAATTAAAACTCGAAGTCCAACTCGAAGTCCAACTCGAGCTCAAACTTAATTCAAAGTCGGTGGTACGTGCTACTCTATAACATATAAGGAAAAATTACCAAATATCAACCAGAATAATAGAATCATATCAATTTGCTCCTACTGATTGCAATCCTTTCGCACTTGCATTTAGATGGAATTGTCTAGATAAAACTCGAAACAGAACCGGAAGTTAAACTCGAAGTTCACCCCGAAGTTCTGCTCGGAGTCCAACTGGAAGCTTATACTGGCGATACTGAGCCGAAACAAAGAAACATCGATGTAGAACATTTTCAGTTCCGTTCCATTTAGTCATCTTCTGAGTATTTTGTATCGTGTTTTAAATATGATCTGAAATACCTTGTCTAGACATTCTTTTTGCGCCTTGTACTCTTGGGAGGAAAATGCTTCATAAATATTTCATTTTAAAAACTTGAACTAGAAACCTGGCTTTTGAATATGCGCTGCGGAGAGCGCAATTTGCTTCGGAGAGCAAACTCATCCGGTTAGCTTGAGCCCTGAAGTGATCTGTACAAATGCCACCAACACCTGCCGTGCTGTTAGCAAATATTTCATTACACGCTGATCTCCCGCTACTTGTAATGAACTGGGGAGTCTTTCCTTCAAATTTACTGACAAACTCTTGTTTATCACCTAACTTACAACACTCACAAGTTAACCTCCCTTCAAAATACTTCATTTCCCACACTATCCGCTCGCTCAAACTGGTCAAGTCGCTCCAAGAAAATAACAAATGAGTACTAATAACACCCTCTTTTATTTTGACAAGTTTTTCTACCTCCGGTATTTACATAATTGCTTTCACAGGGCTCAGATTGTGTGCCGAAGGACTACCTGTTATTACTTTAACCAAATTTTAACTCATCTCTATATTTTGCGAAGATCTCTAGTTCTCCATAAGAATAGGCTCCGCAGGTTGAATGGACTAGCTACAAAAAGATAGCAGTACTGAGCCGAAATAAAGAAACATTATGTTGAGAAAATTTCAGTGTTGTCTCATCTCGTTTTCTTCGAGTACTCTGCATTTTGTGTTAAATATCTTCTGGAATAATTAATCATGGAATATCATTGATCTCTCTCTGGAGTACGCTGTTTTGAGTCAAACTGATCTGCACTCCTGTTTCCTTCCTCAATACACTCATTCGCATAAATAATCCTCGTTTATCAAAACTGACTTAACTATTAGATCAAAGGAAATTATCACGTAGACTTTTTCAGATAATATTTTTTTACTCATACACTCTCTCCAGGGAAAGGCTTCGTCAACAATGCATTTGAAAAAATGAGAGTCTGACTTGTAAAACTGCGCTTCTGAGAGGGAAGTGATGAACGAGAACGCAATAGAACCTAAACTTGCGGTATACTTAGCAAGCTCCATACTCTCGGTTTCCCACTACATGCAATAAATGGGTAGCCCACTTTTTCTAAAAAAAAAAAAGTCTCACTACAAAATATTAAATTCTACCTCTGATCGATTTGTGTTTTTCCTCGAAAACTCTTAAAAAAAATTCTTCAGCCATAACCTTGAGAAAACATTTTGGTAATAATAGTACAAAAAAAATTTCCTGTGAAAAGCATGCTTCGGGTCTAAAATTACAAATTAATCAACTCATTATTTATTTCACGAACCCGTAAGGTAAGGGAAACATTAAACGCAATGGGAATGGTTTTCAAATTCTTCTTTAAACAACGAATATTTACTAATCAAAGAAAAAAAATCAGAGAAAGCTCTAAATCTAGATTGATACAAGAAATCACAATTTCACATTTGCTATTTGCGAAGGAATACTCAACGAGCTTACTTCTCTCTCTTGAACTAATACAGTATAGCCATAGCAGGAAACCTCCAAGATTTTCGTTGGGCTTCAATCATGATTTTGGACATAGTGTTCCCAGCAAAAGATATTTTGTTATTTTTTTGTTTCAGGTTACGCATGTCGAATAGTCGCTGAGTAAATGTGTAATCATTTGTACGTGCGTGTAGAGCATTACTGTATTTACAAAATCATATTTAGTTCGTCCATCTCCTTTTTCAAACAAAGCTTGCTGATGTTGTAAAATCCTACTCCATAGTAAGCTTTAGAACAGTCACCCTCCCTCTCAGCAGTTTATCTCTTAACCACTCCGGTCACAGGCTGACAACATGCGTTGATCTCATCCGTGGTTTGCATATGGCCACTGCATTGAACTATTGCAAAACCATCCGTCGTTCAGCAATGTCTACTATACTGTACTTTGCATCTTCCCGAGCAAGCCCAGCCGCTCCTGGAGTAACCTGTTGCTTGATTTATTTCAATTGCAGCAAGAAAGGGAATTAAGAGTTATTTTTGCAAAGAGTTACTGTTAAAAAAAAAAAGGTGATATATATGCTAGTTTTCCAGTTCGAAACCTGGGGATAGTCAACGAAAATAGACTTTGAAAAGAATAAAGCCCTGAATAAATAGAATACACCATTATTAGCTCCTTGAATGATGACTCCAATCAAGAGATTGTAAACAGTTAATAATCTCTTTCTAAAATACAATTAAATATACTTTTCCTCTCTTCATCTTATCCACAAGTTTAATGAATACCCCCGTTCTGATAAGCCCCATGCGGTATTTCCAAAATCATCTTCTGCCCGTCCATTTTTTGCTAATGAAGCCTCTTTTGCCGTTGTAATTCCTACGCCGTGACCACTTTTGCCACATCCATTTCCGCCTCCTCCAATCATGATCACGGAGCCGGAACCTCATCAGCAGCCTGCAGGCTACCGTTACATGAAGCCCGCACGAAGCCGTCAGTACTTTGGTACTGTCCACCATATTGCACTTTGCATGTTCCTAAGCACCTTGCATTGGGCCAAATTGTGCCATTTCTGAAATCACCGTAGTTTGTGACTTTAGAGCTGAATGTCTGTATTCCTGGACAGTTATCTGTGGTTTGCAATAGAGCAGTATGCTCTGAATCATCGCTGCGCGTGATCTTGAAATCACTTCCGTTAGGCAGCCAAAATAACGGTGATATCATGTCAGTGTTGCCAGATGGATCAGTAGTTTCTCCGAAAGCCTCTCTTCTATCATACCACCAGTAACCAGAATCAAGCATCCAGTGCACAGCGTCAGTGTTTGAGAACCGAGCGATGAGGTTCCACCCATCTCTACCATGTGTAAAGTCACAATATACCTAGAGGGTCGAAATAATACAAAAAATTGGCACGATAACTTACATTTTAAAACCAACAGTTGACGAGGATTGGCTGCATTTAAAACTCTGACAAAAAACTGTATTGTAAGTGAAGTAGCGCCATTTATGAGTGCGAGAACGATATCGTTAGTTTTAACGAATGTTTTGGTCGAGTTTTTATGATCAATGTCCTCCTTTAAGCATTTATCAATTTATCAGAATATACGGGCAGATCTTCATATATAAAAAAATAGTTCAGTCATAAAAGTTGAAGTCCAATACGCTTATACTTCACATAATATCTTTAGCACTGTAAAGTGGGGAAGAACTGCAAGCCACTAAATGAAATCTTTGATGACGACTTAATGAAAACAAAACCCGGAATTGACAAAGCATTTTCAAATAAAACCATTATTCTGTTTCTTCAGTTTGCCTACCCATGTAGATAAGCGTTGCGAAGCAGTCGCTCAAATGCGCACGTGTGGACGAACGATATGGATGAGCGTATTGTCGCGACACTAAGATTAAATTGTTTCGGCGTAGTGGGTTAATGTCTGAACTACGAAGTGCCACGAAAATGCATTATGAACAGGATCTCCATTATTTTATTTGCAGGCATCAATGCTGAAGTTTCTCAAAAAAGAAAAATGCTTAACCAATTTAAAAAATCACTGCGATTTCTCTGCAGACGGAGAGAGAATTTACCTGTATTATTCCCAGCTCTCTGAAATTAAGCCAGTACAAACCGCTGACAA